TTTTTTTTTTTTTTTTTTTTTTTTTTTTTTTTTGCATGTCAAGTGTCAACTAGCCGTTAAGGCCCTATTTTTGCCTCTTCCTCTTAGTTTTGGCCCTTCCTATGCCCAAGGGTCTGTCCGTTATTTCTCGGACTGCAATTGTGGCTCTTCCATGCCCTTGGGAGCCACCGTTTGCCTCTCTCTCTTACAAACGGTTGGCCTCTATGCACCGATTTCCTCCGGGAGGCCTATTTTTCTCACGGAGCCCCTACGACTCATTTTTCTTGGGGGAGGCTAATTCGAGATTTTTCGGATTGCTCCCATGCCCCTAGCACTCGTTTTCTTTACTTTTTATTTTTCTTTTGGCCTTCCCTCTTGCTTCCACTAGTGGTGCAAATATTTTTGGCCGTCAAGATCTCCGATTTTGGCGGTGCATCTTGCTTTAATTATTTGCACCACGTGCCGCGCCACCATTTTTCCTTGGGACGTCACAAGTCCCCGCCACTTGTGCCACATTAATCCCCGACACTAGTCCGGCTGGTACCGCATTTTTGCCGAGTCCCGTGTGGTCCCCGACACTTTGTAACACCGGTACTGCATTTTTGCCTAGTCCCGTGTGGTCCCTGACACTTTGTCTCACCGGTACCGCATTTTTGCCTACTCCCGTGTGGTCCCAGACACTTTGTCCCGCCGGTACATGTCGCGCCGGCGGTCTCGTTGACACTCTTGTCGTTTTTCTGCCTCATGGCAGTCTCCTTCCCTCGTGCCTTCTTGCGTCTCATGCACCGTCTCCCCGGGTGCGGTCCTCACTTGGCCCATGGCCCTTCGGTCTTCTTGACGCTGCATCCCAGTGACCCTCTCAGCCTGGCTACCTTCTCTCATGCCGGCATCTTACTTACTATCTCTTCTCCCTTCCTCTTTCCGTTGCGATGTGCGCCTCATGACGCTACTTCTCTCGGCTGTCCTTCTCCTTTTCGGGGGAAGGGTCGCCTTTGCCATTTTCTTGCGATCCTTTGCCGCCTCCGATTCCCTTAATTTCCTCGCAGTTCTATGGCCCCAGTGACTCCGGGCAGCCTCTAGATCCCAAGTGCCTCTGCCTCTGCCTTCGATTCTTCCACCCTCCTTGCCTCCGGCTTTCTCTGTTGTGCACAAACTGGCCATATACAGTCTCTCGAGTGACGGGAAGTCATTCGGGACTCACCAGTCCTGACACCGGGTCTCTCTCCAGCACCATCGTCGCACAACGAAGGTCGATCGAGTAGCCTGAGGTTCCAGTGGCACCGCACAAGCTTCTCTGCCCGGGGAACCTCCAACCTGTTGCGAGACTTCGAATGAATGAAGCTCCAATGAGACCAGGCTCTCTCGCACGGTGATGTGGTCGCCCAGATACGAAGGATCTTGCCTGCAAACACGACCGTGTGAGGGAACTTCGCCTTCTTTGAGGACAAAAAACTGGCAGGGTGATCGAAGGTATCCATCGCTCGCCGTATGGTGAGCTCATCGAAAGGAGGCTCCCTCGTGTGGAGCTTGATGACCGCTCGTTGGACCTCCCGGTGCTGAGGCGATCCCTCTGGGTAGCCGAACTGGACCAGGGCCTTGACCAAGGCCTGCTACACCTCCGCATCGTCACACAGCGTCGCGTCTCGGAACTCTGGATCGAGCATCATAGCTGCCATGTGGGCGGGGGTTTTGAACATGGTGCGCCGTCTGAGGAACACCTCCACAGTAGCGTTCTACTGGTCCTGATCAATGTCACGACATGCGGACAAACAAGATGCAATCATCTCCTCGTAACGTCGCAGATCTTGCTGATATGGCGTGTGTCGCTGTCCACCAATCTCAGCATGTCCATGATGGGCTCGAGCATCTTGCACAGAGCTCTTAAATTCTCCCACCATGGAGGGGAGCCGATACATGCAGTGACCTCTGCGGCGTCCTTGCCGATCTTGATGGTCGACCAAACAGTCTCACGCCAGTGATCGTCGCCTACAACCTGTGTCAACTCTGCCCGCAGTTTCACCAGCCTCGTCATCATGATGACGTTCGTGTCGAAACGCGTCTCCGCCGGCAGCAAAAGAGTCTTCTTCGAGTACGCCTCAAGAACCTCTCTAGCATATCCATGGCGCTTGAAGAACCTTGTAACCAGCCTCGTTTGCGCAATGAGGGAAGTCACCCAATCAATCTCGCCGATGTCCTCGAGAATGAGGTCCATGATGTGGACGACGCAAGGAATCCAGAAGATGTGTTTCACGCTCTCATCTTTTTGGAAAACCTTCATCGCCTCGACGTTCACCCCGGCGGAGTCCGTCACGAACGTTGTGATGTCGCTCAAGTCAATGTACATGGACTTCACCCTTTTCAACCATGCGTTCGCGAGGGCACTGGCATCCTTTTTGCCGTGCATGACGTCGGTAGCCACATACGCTACCCCAATCTCTGTCCCAACAAGGTAGTTGCACAACGTTTGACCCCGGATGTTGCTCCAACCATCGCTCATGATTGTGCAACCAGTCTTTCTCGACGTGTCAAGCACCGGCCGAACACACTTCTGGACCTCACCATCCAGCTCGTCCAAAAGGGTCGTGCGCAGCATGTGGTAGGAGGGAAGTTTAGGCGTGGGCGCCCTCGGAACCCCCGGCAGGATGGTCATCGTGAACATACGTTTGAAGCTTTCAAGCTTCGTGCAGTTGAACGACATCCCGCTCTCGACGATGAACCGCATGATTTGCAGATGCCACGCGCGCTCCAAAGGGTCCGAATAATATGAGGTGACGGCCTGCTGCCTATAAGTGCCCCGGCCTCGTCCCGTCGTGTCTCTCCCCCCGAGGACCTCGACATCCAACAACCCGCCAGGTGCCTCGCTCTGGGCAGCTGCAAGGTCGCGAATGCGTTGCAAAGGATCTAATGATCCGGTCAACATGGGTGGAGCAGACCGACCAGCACCTGTCGTTGTCGGAACCAGGGTCGGCGATGAATCGGACACCGAAGGGGGGACCTCCTCGGCAGGCACCCCGTGTTCCGCCTGTTCCCCAAAACGAGGCACGGAGGTAGATTGCCGAGCATCTGCAGGTGCGTGTGAGGGATCCGGAAGGGTGGTTGCGTGAACGTGATCGACCACCGGACGCTGCACCGCTCGCGACGGTGGAGGTGGCATCCAAGGGTGCTCCGACTAAATGCGGGCAGATGCGCCAGGCGCCACCGCATTACCACCCAGGCGGCATGTGACTGTCTCGCACTTTTGAACACAGGGGTGACTCCGACTGAAGTGCCGACATCCCTCCCCCACATGCGACTTTCAATAAAAGCACGTGTGCTCTCCTCGTCAAATGCCGCAGAGCCTACACCATCCCTCACAGGTGGGGGCTCGTTGGCTGGCGCGATACGACCAACTTCCACATCGTGAGCGCCTGGTGTCCCAGCCAGCGGTGCAAACGGCGGGGCTGCCGGACGTGCTGTTGCGGGACGCGGAACCGTGACCCGCACAGCTGGAGCCGCAAAATTGGGCGAAGCCACCGGTCCTGAAGGGGCGGTGGTAGGAACCGGCAACAGCACTGAGTCCTCAAGGTATCGCAGCGGTAGCCACTGCAAGCTCGGATGGCCTGGCACTAAGCTCTGCAACGTTTCTATGGCCGATGCAAACTCCTTCGGACATTTCGTCATGTCCTTCGACCAGATCGCATATCACACAGCAGGAGTGGCTGAGTCCTCGGGGTATCGCAGCGGTGGCCACTGCAAGCTCGGATGGCCTCGCGCTAAGCTCTGCAACGTTTCTATGGCCGACGCAAACTCCTTCGGACATTTCGTCATGTCCCTCGACCAGATCGCATACCACACAGTAGGAGTGGCTGCCTCACATCGGAACTTCTCCCTCTTCGAGAAGTGTTCCTTGGCGGCTTTAGCGCCCCCACAAATCGAACGCCCGCACAACCTACACAGGCATCGACGACCGCTCTTCATACCAGCCGTCGTCGACCCATCCAAATAACGCCCTCCGGCTATGAAAGGCCACATTGGTCGTCCCTCTTGCCGTCGACTTTCGGGTCGACCTTGAACGGCGAGTCGAACGTCTTCGTGTTATGACCTTGTCTGGCGGTTGTGAACGAGTCTGCCGGATCCTTCTCCCGGTCCTGCGACATGAGGACAGCCGCTAGCCGCGAGAAAAAGACGATGTCGGAACCCGCAGAGAATGTTCCCAACTCGCGACAAAGATCGAAGTCGGCGACAGAGCGACAAAGAAATGTTATGAAACAAGAAAAAACAATGAACGCAAAAGTGCTGAACACCTGGACATCAAAGGGAGAATACAAAACGACATGAAACGCAGAAACAAACAACCAAAGATAACGAAAATAACTCAGAAATTGGGAAAAATAAATAAAAAGATACGTATGTGGGTGATTGCAGAGTTTGATATTGCCCGTACAGGCTCTAGACTTGAGACTGGATGGACTGGCACCGACCCAGACGTACCCTACCATTACCGGGTCTGTAAGAAATGTCAACTTTGTCTTCTTCTCCACGGCCTCGAGCACCCCTCACATCTACCACTACCGGGTGCGGTACCGGCCCACCTGGCCGAAGCACCGTGGCCACCCGGATCCACCACCCGAGTGTTTTCCCCCACTGCAACCCTCAATGCCACGGGCACATGCAAGCACCGGCCCTACGGGCCTGCCGAAGAAGCAAGCACCCTTGCGGGTAACACACACTCATACCCTTTGCCGCCCAGTCAGGCACACGTAAAAGAAAAAAAAAAAGAAATACGCACACACACGATTAAGAAAACCCAGCAGAATGAGAATTTTAGCAACGCGTCATGCATTCCATAGGCAGAACTTCATAAATCAGCAGCGTCATGAAATTGCAACCCCCCCTTTATAGCCTATGAAATCGAGCTTCCCCGCCCACGCAAAGTCACGACACACTTTGGAAACCCAGCAGAATGTGGGAATCCAAGCAAGGCATCCATTACGCAGGCTTAACTTCAGAAAGCCACAGTGTTCTCGGTCTCTTTTATAATGGAAAAAAAAAAAAAAAAAAATGCACGCAAGGCAACCATTCCACAGGCAGAACTTCTGAAATCAGCAGTGTTCTCAGTCCGTTTTCCGACGGGTTGTCACAAAAAAAAAAACCGAAAAAAAAAAAAAAAAAAAAACATGTCTCACACAGACAGACTTAAAAAACCCGGCAGAATGCGGGAATCTTGGCAGACCATCCATTTCACAGTTTTCCCAGTTTATTTTTTGACGGGCCAAAAAAAAAAAAAAAAAAAAAAAAAAAAAAAAAAAAAGCAGGCACGTCCACGGCAACCGCCAGGACGTCCGGACTGGGTTCCAGACAGTCCTGTGTCCGGTGCCTGGTGACCGGTGTCTGAACATCATGTCCAGATCGAGACCTCTGGGGCAAAAAAAAAATAAAAAATTGTGGCGGCCCAGGACATTCATCGGGTCCTGGCCACCCCTAGAAAAATAACGGGTCGATCTTCCAAGGTCGTTTCACCCCACCGGACAGGGCCTAGAGGTCCAGACACAAGACACAACAGGTTTTTAGGGTGGCGGGTTTCGCAAAGGCCCGGACAATTTCAAAGCGGCCGTCTCGACGTGGAGCCTGCTGCTGCTTCCCGTTGGAGAGAGAGAGAGAGAGAGAGAGAGAGAGAGAGAGAGAGAGAGAGAGAGAGAGAGAGAGAGCTGACAGTGCTGCCAGTCTGAAGACTCTGACGTTCTGAATTGAACTGCAAACTTTGAACTTTCAAGTTATATATAGACTACACGCACGTTTTCAGTCCAGGCACGCACGCATAGACACACATACATAGACTAGGCAAGGCATCCATTCCATACGCAGAAACACATACACATAGACTAATAAAACCTAGTAGAATACGAGAACCTAGGCAAGGCATCCATTCCATACGCAGAACCCCCAACATCAGTACCGTTTCCAGTCTGTTTTCTGACGTGTCATTAAAAAAAAAAAAAAA